GTGCCGTGAGCATCGAGGCATCAGGAGACTGGGACGTTTCTTCTTTCCATCTTCTGGGATTACCCGACCGACCGACCAGCCGACCTCCCGCAGTTGGTTGTGCTTCATAACTTTCAGGTCGGAAAAGCCGTTATTGGATGGCACACCCAAGCATGCCAAGGGCCAAGACAGGGACTCTCCGTCCGGCATTCCATCTGCAGTGTACTATAGTAAGAGTAAGGTATGCATCGATCAATCCTACACTCCTGACTTCTGGGATCATGTCGTCCCCACGTCCATGACGGCAACGGATGAGAGGATCAATAGCCAACGACCTTTTTATAACGCCTCGGGACCGGCAGATACAAGCAACGAAACTCCTGAATCCTCAGGGTCACGTAACCCCAGACTCTCCCGCATTATGCTTCCTAGTCACAGGCTACTGTACAGCGAAACGTGTTTGCAATCAGGCATTGCTTCCATCGTGCCATGGCCGTGCGTTTCACCATATGCACAGCTTAGTAATAAATAATCTAACATGTCTAGGGTCATTCTGACGGCTGCCTGCTGTCAGTTCCCCGGCCGATGGCAGCGCTGCTGCCGTCACCCCTGGTACGAAGGTAACGTGCTTAGGTAGCTCGGTAATCAAGCTCACCGAGATGGTTTCAATAATTATCTGGCAACACATTGTTTGTTTAGGCTGCGTACAGGGCGGATACGGTTGCAGGTATGACCAAGGTCACGTCGCACCGTGGCATCTGCCTGTCGTGTGCGCATACAAGATACATCCGACCGTGTTGATCCGAAATCCTTTTTGGTTCCCGTCTTTGTCCAATGTCTATGCTTGGAAGAGTCCAGAGAAACACAGACCTCGACGGCGGCAGATCATCTGACAATGGCCCCGGTTTATCCCTTATAGCCGAGCCATTCCAGTGCACATGTTATGAGATATGCAGAACTAATGCTTGATAGGGTAATGCGGCGATGGCAGCAACCTGTTGGTAGCAGGGCCAAATACCTACCTAGACGGCTTTCGTCTGATTGAGGGAATAACACTCCCGCGGTAGTGGCGTCCACGTTTTCGCAGGTCTTGGTTCTATGCGATGTCAGCCTGTGCAGCTCATCTCTTCCTTGCCTCATGCATGTTCGTGCCGTGGCGGCTGATCAGAGCGCCGTGCCGCCGACTCTACAGAACGTCATGTACGAACTGCCAGAACGGGGAATACGGCCAAAAGCGATGGCGTTGGCGAAACCTATCCTCGAAATCCACAAGACAGCGTGATGCATATCATCTACGCGTTGAAATTGAGGCTGAACAGTCCCTTATGATGCTTGCTCCGGCAATTCCGTTCGATAGTGCGTCGTGGCTGGCGCCATCACGGCTATATCAAAATGCGGCGGGTATATTCGCTCAGATTTAACTAAGGGTCGCCAGGCGCTGACCGAACGCAGAACAATCCATTAAGGGTTTAGTCACTCTCCTGGCTATGGGTATGGGTATGGCACGAAGTTGCTAGATGTAGTGCTTTGCCACAGCATTACTGGTACCGGTACCGGTACCGGCCCTGATGCATGGGACCTTTGTGCCTCGACATATGTCATACCTCTTTGCGGCTTCGACCTTTGATTAGTCTAGCCTCTTCTCGTATCATCAGATACTGATCCTGTGTGGACTGCTCTGTGCCGCTCATATATTTGCACTTAACGTCCCGTTCCACAACCCAACCCCTATTCCACTGTATCCGGCGGTACCTGACATCCCCTGAAGGCCTCATGGCGCCTCGATCGGGGGATGGCATCGTTTCCTGACGTTGTGGCATGCCCATCCCGACTTTTGGTACTATTTCCGACTTGGTATAACCACCAGAAGGAATTAACACCGGTACTTTGTATTGTAATTATGCTGGTATATCTTGGTCAAGTAGGGGGAATATATTAGGAGAATAGGTACCTGGTCGACGTCGTCGTTCGGCCAAAGGCAAGGAAACCATGCCTCCCCCCGGGGCAGGAAATTCCCAAAATGATCCCTTCCATGCCGTCCAAGAAGACAGGTGCGTTGCATACCTTGGCCATGCGTGGACGTGGCCCGAACTGTTAAGAGTTTAGCTACGAGGTTAAGAGAGTGTTGACGATTCTGACTGGATCCTCGAGGCAGCCACGGAGCTCATGTGCGCCAGTCTGAACATAGGTACCATGAGCAACAGGCTCCATGAACTGAACCAACAACCCGTTAGAGGCAAGTCGCGGACGAACTATTTTATACTATAGTTCTCCTAGCTCCAACTGGGTAGAAGGTAGGGCAAGGATTCGATCTATATCATGGTCTTGGCATGACTACTGTACAGATGTCTACCTACCTCATAACGGCTGGAAGCACTGAAATGACCGAATCAACTGATGTCGTCCCCAATGTCTTTCAATATCAACGAGTTGAACAATAATCTGGCTTCCTAGCTGACGCCAACAATCATAAGGGCTATTTTCTCTTATGTTGGCATTGATTAAGGGCGTTGATAGAGTTGACGGCCACGGGCAGCCCCCATCATGAATGGAGTCTCATCTTCAAACCTACACGATCGAGCTGAGAGGTCAAGGCCCAATACGTCTCCCGCCAGGTGAGAAGTGCAGCGATGTGGCGGAATCCAGGAGATTGGATATAAGGAGAGAATGTGGTGAAGCCGTCATGGGGAAGTGCACCATGACAGAGACGGCGTTCATAAATGCAGCATTACCCACTCCCAGCTGTGGGAAAGTTGAAGTAGTGTTACTTCCCGTGGGAGCAACGACGTAGTGTCAAGACACACTGGTGCTAGCCTGGAATACCGGGCGCTGTTCAAGGTCTAGGTAGATGATATCGCTATGGCTTACCCGTAGGCAACAATAGCGAGACTTCCTGAAAAATCCCCTGTCTGGAATTCAACCATCTTCCTCGTGCAACCAATGCATGACACAAGTAAGCGACCAACGGTTCCACTAATCGCAAACATCGGCCTCGTACAATAAGATCGTCTTCGCCCTACTCTAGCCCAGTCCCTTCGCTGCGACCGTTGCAGTTTCCCAACAAGCAAACAGTGGCGCAAGGTCGGTCTCTGCGTCCTTGAAACTAGGGCCGACCATCCCTCCTAGACATATATCTCTGACGTGCTCACAGCGTGAAGCTCGTGACGGTGCCGACCGGTCCGAACATCCAGCGATGCTCGAAGGCTTAGACACGCGGCGACGGTTCTATGAGCATAATGAGTCAACCCATTCCATCCGGGCGTTTAAGTTGGAGGGGACTGGAGGCCGTGATACCCTCGCCCTGACGGAAGTTTAAATTGGCTTCGGGGGCCACAATGTATGTAGCTAGCACACATCTTGGACCGCTTGCCATGTCCCATCGTCCTTGGGACTTTGGTGGACACGCCGGTACACAGCTTCCCATGGACGTTTAAAACTGCAACCAACCAACAGGGTGCTTGAGTCCGGGAGTAAAAAGTAGATGAGAAGAGGATAGTGCTGGTACGTTTTCCAAGTAACCACTATGCACCTGACTTGAACGGATGCTTTGAACCTTAACATAGACACTCTTTAGAGGAAAAAAACATCATAACCATTTCGAAAAAAGGTTATAATATAAACTAAGACAGACCATTCTGGTATAATAACCACTAAAACCGCCTGCCGTGATAAAATGCGGGTTGCCAGGCGATAAGCTGGGTTTAGCCAGTGAGGGAGCGTGTCATGCTGCCGCTTGTGACCTGTTACAGATTCGTAGGAAACCAGTCGTTTCATATTATATAAGAATCATCTTCTTATACTCTCGCGAAGTACGGTCGGGTTTCGCGGCCCGAGTATGTGAAGTATACCGAATAGTAACGTGTTCCCCCTTTCACCTACATGCACGCCCAGGACACATTATTGCAACAGTTTAATGCTATGGGTCTTTAGAGTTTCATCTCCAAATACAGTGACTCGTGAGCGGGAAGAACTCAAGTCATATCCATATCGATCATGAATTGCCGAGTCCTGGTGTAAGGAGCACTTTTATGACTTGAAATATTGAATTGTACCAGAAGTATTCTAGTGGGTGAGGTAGTATTAAAAGTGCTGGAAGATAGTTTTAACAGACACACGAAGGTGCGCTTGCAGGTAGTTCATTGAAGCATTCTTAACTCTATGAGGGGGGTAAGGTTTACGGCTTAATGTGTGGAGGGACTTGCGTACAGGCACGAAAGAAAATGGTTAAGCAGCCTGCTCCTATGGGCATATACGAGCTATAAAGTTTCGTTTTGACAACCACCCAGCTAAGAACCGACGGCAGTGGAGGGGAGCTAACGAGGACTCGTAGCAATATTATATATAATGCAACAACAGCTTCCCCGGGTGCAATACGAAGTAATATTACCAAGTTATATTCCGCGTGCGGATATTCTTCCGCAGATAGGGCGAAAACAGCAGACTATATTGCACATAAAAGTGAGTGATATAAACGAGATATATAACATTTTTGTCACGAGCGAAGTTAATATGCCGCCACGGCCCACGTGCGCTCGCTTTCGAAGACTTCATCGTGGTACTCGGTTACATGCATTGTCCCATCAAGTACACCTATATCCTTTCACGATCGGTGGCAGAGTAATATGCATGAGGTAGATACTACCTACCGGGTCAATACACCAGAGCGCGGAACTAGAACATCTGCGAGTTGGTATATGGAGAGATGTAACAAAACACAGGCAGCAGTGGCCAGCCGCCTGGGCTGTATTTATCGAGCTCTCAAACAGGTTGGTACGAGCTTCTCTACATGTTTATGGTGCACAGTACACATGGTACTCACTTTTGTTATGGTTGGTAGTGACTATCACCTAGGAGACCTCTTGATCCATCACCTGGCAACCCAAAAGCTGTCCCTTCAAATTTTCAGGAAACCAGCCGCACCAGCCGCCTCCGCTCACAACTTGCATGCAGCCTTCCTTCTCAAGCCGCAGGGCACGCCGCCGCCGCCTCACTCATCGCATTGCAGCTCACGAATGCATAAAATGGCAGTCAATTATGCGCTTGCGGCGCTACGTGTAGCAACCCAGCACCGTCACCGTTACCGATACCGACAACGCACCTTGGGAAGACGGATCCATTGTGGGAAGGAGCACAGCATACACTTGCGGTCCCGCCACGCGTTCGTGCCCTGGAAGTTTGGACGTCGAGATCTCCGAATTCCTCCACAGCGGCGACCCTTTCGTCGAACACCTCGCTTGGCTCGCTGCACAATCGCTCCACGACACAGAGGCACCCAGAGCCGTGCTGCCACCCGAAATTACACTCTCATCTCTGCCAAGCCCCTCGATACCAAAACACTGTCCGATTCCGACACTCAGAGTGACCTACCACACGAGGAGTTTGACTGGAGCTCGGTCGTTCCATCGCCGGACCCCAGACATGCGATAATCGAGGCCCTGACTTCAACGCTTTCAAGTGCGGTGCCTACGATTGCCAACAACACGGTTTTGGAGGCCTTTGAGTTGACGTCGCTCTTGGCTGCCCCGGATGCCGTTGGGCCTGTTCTCCAGACACGACTCGGACAGGAACTACGAATGTTGGCGAGCGAGGCTGTCACTCGGGCTCTTCAGCAAGCAAGTCCGGAATTGACGCTGGCTCTGGCGTCATCCAACGAACAGGCGGCGCGAATACCGACGGATGCAAGAGGCGGCAACCATACGAAGGACCGTTGCTGCCCAGAATGTAGCAAAACCATGAGCTACGGGTCATGGTATGACCACGTCCGCTCGGGCCATACCGGAAGCACCTGCCGGTGGCCTGGTTGCCATGTGGCCACGGCCAGTGAGCGGGAACTTCGACACCACCTCCGCGACCACCACCGGGATGCGCTGAGCGCGGTGGCTCCCAGTGCGCCCGAGGACGAGAAGCATCACTGCACCTGGCCTGGATGCACAAAGACCACGGGAAGCAAAGACAGGATCTACATGCATTTGTATGAGCACCAGGTTCTGGCTCGACGGGAAGGAGACGCTGCTCTGAACGGCGTCTATGCTGCGAACTTTGAGGTGCGGGGGTTGATGAAGGATGAGGATGGAGATGACGGCGCTGTGGGAGAGGTTGAGGACAACTCTTGATGATGATTTAGATCGTTTGTCCAAGGGATGCGCATGGATGATGGAACGACTGTGGACGATACCTACCTACATGCTGTGCAAATAAGCCTATAAGCCTTGTTGTACGGCTGTGGAATGGATACTTGTCTGAGTTTACGGTCACCCCAAAACCATCCTGCCTGTGCGTAGAAAGACAGTCGTCTTGTGACACCACCTAACACCCAGCCATCCATGACCCAACATCGAAAAGGGGGACGGACCTCAGGGACCTGCGTCGGGATCGCCCACTAATGCGGGGATAAGGATAAGATCTCTACTAACCTAAGGTACCCTTACCCGTCAACCTGGTCCGTGCCTCCGGGCTACTCCCGAGTGCCGCATCGAGGTAAGTAATTTCCAAGGTTCAATTTTCCTAATACTTCAGTTTCTCACCAAATCTTGCTTGGCCGCGAGTCTACGACAGGGCTCGCGCTCGCCCAAGTCCAAGTCCAAGTCCACGGTCCACCACTCGCCGTTTTCCGAGTTTTCCTTCATCGTTGCTGTGAAAAGCTGAAGCAATTGGTTCTTGGATCACGTACCTAAGTTTGCAACGTCCCAGTGCTGCGTGCAGATGCTCGGCTCGCCAACACACTCGTTTCTTGGACCTGGCTTCTACGTTTTGACTGAGCGCCTTGTCAACCCCTTTCCTGGGCCTTGGCTCTGGTATCTCGACCCTGGTATCTGATATCTCGACCCAAGATGGGCTTCTTCACGGCCATTGCTGGCTATGCCGCGCCAGTGTTCTTGATCCTGTCGCCCATCCTGTCCTACAGTGATCAGGCCATCTCCATGCACCGCGCAAAGTCCAGTGCCGGCTTCTCTCTCGACATTCCCCTAATCATGCTCGTTGCATCGATATTCAGGTTAGACATGGCCTCGACCCTCGACCCTCGGGCCTTTCTCGTCGCAGCAACACTGACCAGCGCAATCAGGATCTTCTACTGGCCCGGTGCCAAGTACGACAGCGCATTGCTCGTCCAGTCATTCTGCAACATCTTTATCCAAGTCATCCTACTCAAGATTGCCCTCGATCACCGACCGTCACCGTCCTCGAAAGGGGGCGACGCCGCTCTCCCCTTCACCGGCGGCCAGGATGGGCTGGCCGGCATGCGACGACCATACAACTTCTGGCGATGGCGTTCCCCTAAACCGTTGGTCCAACTTGCCATCTCTCTTCCAGCGCAACCTAGGCTAACGTCACATTTCCCAGTTATTGGCAGGTGCTGCTATCCTTGTTCATTGCTCTGACAATCCTCGAGCTCCTCCTCGCTCCGTTCCCACCGATATACTCGACATACTCGACATTGATCGGCTACATAGGCCTCTCGGTGGAGGCTACGCTGCCTCTCCCCCAGCTCTTTGCAAATGCTCAGTCGCGGTCATGTAAGGGCTTTCGTGTCTCGGTGTTGGCGAGCTGGTTGTTTGGAGATGCGATGAAGATGTTTTGGTTCTTCACATCCACCACCGAGATACCCTTGGCTTTCAAACTGTGCGGTATCTTCCAGGCCTGCTGTGACGCCCTAATCGGAGTCCAATACATGATGTATGGCGACCGAGCCCCGGCGGCGAGGACACAACAAGACTGGCCCTATGCCGGTGTGAGGCCACACCGGGCACGACCACCCAGTGGCCGGCAGACGCCTGTCGGCAGGAGGACTCCGCTAGGAGAGAAGACATTCTAATCGAAGAGATATGTTTCCACCTTCAGCCTGCTATGCATGACTCCAGCAATCTCCCATCAGTGAACCAGTCAATGATCTATCACTCATGTACAGACGAATACGAAAACGAATAATACATAGTGCGCTTACAGCTGAAACAATACGTCCCAAAGACCTGGCCTGTATCCCCTTAATGTGAAAGTACGGCAGCAGATCCCTACACACTAGCGCTCTCTACTGCTACATTGCACACACGTGGAATTGGGTGAACCTGGAAGTATCTTGCTAGACAAGGGGAAATAATCCTCATCGTTTGATTGGCTGTATTCCTCGTAGCGATCGTTGTAAGGATTTGCTGCCGTACCTTCACGTTAAGGGGATACACCTGCATGTAAGTTCAGCCCTGTCGGAATAAACGTCACACGTAAAGACGTCGAACAGACAGACATCCAACTTACCTGCGCAACATTTGAGAAGCCAACACGAGGTCCACTTGTTCCGGACATGGGTATGGTCGCTTTTCACCATGCTATTGTATCCAAGCCATTGGTGGCTGGCTGTTGCCCAAACCCGATATGTGAGCGGATCGTCCTCTCTGAGCTGTGCATTCGCTGTGAATAAGTGCTAGTGGGTACTTACAAAGCCCAGTCTCATACATCCTCAGCCCATCAAACCGAATTGTATTACCTTCTGCCAACTTGTATTGGGCCACTCTAAGGCTTTTAGTTACTTGAATCCATTGACCTGGTATTTTGGGGAAGATGTGGCCGTCGAGGGACCATTGTTGAGGTATGACCCCAAGTCACGGCTTAACTGCAACACACTCCAGCTCACCACAATTCTCGAGAGGAACAAGCCCAGCTACTCTGTCCACAGCCTCGGAACCCCAACCACCTTGTTCTCCCTGACCTCTAAAACCCGTTTGTTGTCCTCGATAATGGTCTTCGAACTTGTGTCAACTATCTCGAAACCCTCGACGTGCATTGCTGATACCTGAAAGACTATGCTGCCGTCTCTGTCTCCTATCACTTGAGAGACACCGGATACTTTAATACTCGGCGCCTCTCGAAAACTGCTAGTTATTCCAACTCTACCGATTCCTCCCACGTCAGTCAGGAAAACCTTGCCATCGATTCTGCTGGCCATTGTTGTTCATTGCACGGCTGTCAGCCTCTAATCACAGGCAAGTCTCAGCACCTCCGTGTCCAAATCTGGACCTTGGACTGACCTCGACCAGTAACCGCAACGCCCCGACCCTAGGGAAGACTTTATAAGTTCTCCTTTACACTCGAGCAGTTCTTGAGCTTTAGGCTTGATAACTTCAGTGAGGACTCCAGCTTTCCTCCCCCCCCCCCGCCCCCGCCCGCTCGGTGTTGTTCAGGAGAGTAGGTAATTCCGGACTCCCGAAGGAGTCCAACGGTGAGCTGTGAACACAGCAGCTATGGCTCGAAGGCCTCTACAGCCATCGTCTTCCCCTTCTATAGCTTGATGGCTTCATCCAAGCTGGCTGCTTCAAAATTGGCTGGGCTAGCCTTCTGCGGCACAGTGTTCGAGTCTGCATTGTGCTAATTAGGCAATAGGGCATAAGAGCACGAGGGAATCCCATATTACAGATGTGTACACATTAAAATTCTGGCAAGGAAACTAGGGTGTTGGGCATCTTGAATTCGGAGCCGCAGTCGGCTCTGTGCCATTGTGGACCTCCCCTTGCCGTTGATATTCACAGCTTGGGAGCTACGTGACGCAGCGACGATATAGACCAGCACAGCACAGCCATACCTAGGTACTCGGCGAACGAGGTTGGACGATTTCTTCGCAGAGGCGGATCGTCAAAGCTTTTGCAGGTACTCATCTGGTATGTAAGGTGTGACTTCAGTATCTTGTACTTGCTTGCCTATACTCAAGGTTGCCCACGACCGATGAACCTCTTACCTCAGACACAACGTCCCCCCTTGATTCCATACTTCCGGGCTTTGCCCTACGCTGATAAAAAGTCGTGCAATATTCCCATACATCTCCATAGCTCGCGTGTGGTCGATGAGATTGTTCACTGACAAGCTGCAGCCATTGCCCCGAGGTACGTACCCACGGAACCGCACGCCCCCAACACTCACCATTCCTCACGCACTACCTTCATATCCATCCAGTACATGCTCAGGAATTCCCCAGTTCTCCCCTTCTAGATACATCGGAGTGTTTCCTAGACAATCCACATCTGACCACTGCAGGTCGCGACCTGGCAAAGCATGTCCAGCCGTTTCCTCCGACCCATTATCATCATCATCCATCCATCCACACACTGGTCACTTCTACCTTCCCCAACCCAGAGCGCGACGCCCACTCCTGCCTCTACTTCATCTTCAAGCTTCCACTTTCGAGTGCCTCAGGCTTACCAGTTCATCCGCCCCCACTGCACTCTTCCCAACACGTCTTCTACACCCAGCAACCACCTGCTGCCCAGCAACAGACTAGGCACAAACAACCTTCTGACCTGACTTTCTGCAGGTCCTACCTGATAACACTCGACGTACCAAGCTTTGAACGTCGTGTTTATCTGATTCAAGGTGGTCGCCCCTGTCAAAATCTGCTTCACATATCGACCCGTGGTCCGCGCACCATCGACAGGTAAGCCATCACTGCAGCAACACCATCACATAACCTCGTGCACGCGTCGCAGCAGTATTCAACCAACATATCTCCCAGCAGCCTTGGTCTTCCCAGATCTCAAACATCCAACCAGGCCGTCCGACCAACACAATCAACTCCGTTCCACTAACAGCATTTCAGAACTGCCTTCCAATCCTCCTTCGTGTCAGCTCCCATCACCTTGAAACCATCAACTCGGTCTCTTTCGGCAAGATGGCTCCTACTACGAAGACGAACTTCAAGACCTACGAGGCCAGCACGCGCCTCCTGGCTGCTGTCATCGCCACGAACAAGGGCATCAAGCTGGACTTCAAGGGTAAGCAACCGTGACCTTGTTGCCTCTTGTGTCCATGAACGCGTGCCATCTTCCTCGACCCTTACATTCCCCAGTTGAATTTGCCCACTCCATCCCTCGCCATCCTGACAGTGTATCTCCTGGTAGAACTGGCGAAATATGTCGGCGGAGGTACCACGAAGGACTCGGTCAACCATCGACTACGACCCATCAAGCAGCTGGCCAAGATGCAGGCTGCTTGTGTGGGAAAAGGCGAGGATCCAGGCGAGCTGCCTGTCGAGAAAGGAGGTAGTCCACCCTTTGTTCAAGCCATACCATACCTTCCGTCCCATTGATACCCATCCCTACCTTCCCCTTGCGTCTTGCACCTCGGCCTCCATCCGCCACCAGCGCTGCGTTCACCTGAGATTATCGGGTCTTGTATCTGATCAGTCAACAGCACTCGCAGACCTGGTTGGCGGAGGAGCGAGCCCGTCTTCCTTGGAGCACCGCTTCCGTCCCATCAAAAAGCTGGGAGAGGAGCTTACTGGTGGCAAGGAGAAGGGCAAGTAGAAGGGCAAGGACTCTGATGCCGGCGACGAAGGTGGCAATCTTCACACCTCACTCGCTATCTCCAGCTTTTCATGTTGTCTCCTCGTACTTTCCGTGTGCTAACTTCTACCCGTCTCAGAAATACAGAAGTTGTTCGGCGAGTCGACTCCCGGCGGCATCGAGTGGCAATTCCGCGAAATCAAGCATCTCGGCAAGGCCCAGCAAGCGGCAATAGCCAAGAAACAGAACCCGGCCGGCGTTGCCGTCAAGTCCGGGTCGGCAGCGTCCACCCCGGTATCCCGCGCCTCCAAGCACGCTGCTCCCGGCTCTGCCTCGGTCGGCCGAACACCTAGCAGTCGCCCCCCGAAGCGCAAGGCACCACGTGACGATGAGGATTCTGACACGGACGTCAAGGCCTTCGACGTCGATGATCTCAGCGATGACGACGACGAAGACGACGATGACGACGACGATATGGACGTGACCCCGAGCAAGCCACCTCCTCCAAAGAAGTCTAGAGTTGCTCACAGTGCCACTTCGACCCCTGCCAAGGTCGCTGCGCCAAAGCAGACTGCTGAAGAGCTTTACCTCCAGCCGTCGCCCGCGACCTCGCTCTTTGGCAACGGCCGTGCACGTGTGCAGAAGCCCATTGAGACTGCCAATCCCTTCGAAGCTGAAGACGAGCTTCAGGAGGTCATTGACTTGTCACAGACGCAGACCCGGTCCCCTCCAAAGCCAGTCAAGCAGGAGAAGACCGTGGCAGCCGTGGCAGCGGCTGAAGAGTTTGATGTCGCAGACAATGACCCTTTCGGTGATACTAACGCGCTCCTCTACGGCTATGGTGGCGTAGGTTTCGATGATGGCGAGTTCTAAACCCCTTCCACGACCTGCTTCCTTTTGGCCTGGAGTGAAATGGACCACTGTATGTGCCATTGGGCCAAAAGACGAACCTTCACTCATTCAAGACTTCTCGACAGAGAAGTCAACACCCTGGCGACAGTTCAGTTAGACCCTCGACAACCCGCATTCCTGGACTTGAAACGGCAGCTGCTGGGGTTCTCAACTGGAGTACAACAGACTTCGCCATCACTTTTGCAATCCCACCTCGCCGAACGACTACCAACACATCTTTGATCGGGACATTTTCTCTGCGCTGCTTTCGCATTCTGTCTCTGTGTTGACTTCCTCTTCCACAATGGTCCAATGGATCTCGAGAAGGCTCGATAGCTGCCTGCAGCGAAACGAGTCGCTCTGGAGTGTTCGGATGACTCACTTTCCTTTCACAAGGAATCCCGCGTCAATCAACATGACGAACATCCGAGTGTCACCTCATCACAATTCTCTGGGCATTCCCAGAGCTGTTTCCTGCTTTCTCGACTTGCCCTTGTGCCAGACGAATCGGAATTCAGCTAGACGGCGTTGCAGCTACCACAAATGCAGCAGCTTCTTCGGCTTTCACAGCAGCAAAATGAGATGAGTACACCATGGCCATCACCATGGCCATCACCCTGCCGAGGTGCTATACTGCACGCCGCCTTGCCTCATCTACCACCGGGACAGATGGATGTGAGCCGGACTACAACGAAGTTAACCGTCCGCATGGTTGCGATGATACCACCTACATGTGTCGGTGTCGCCAGAATCGTGTGAGTAGACCTGATACTCTGGCTCGCAGTCACAACACATGCAACCTGGGTTCGATTGTATCTTCACTACCTGCCTGTGGCCATGTGAGATCTCAACGGTCACATCGAGGTTGCGCAACGCACTGCGCTGGTCAACGCAACTTCCGTCCACAAGTATCGCGATGAGCAGGCGAATGGCACCGTGTCTCTTCTGGAAAGTTTGACATGCTCGTCTTCGACATATGGTCCGCTGCGTAATTACCTACTGGTAGCGGTTGATCAAAACATGGCTTTAGCATGTCGTCTTGATCCGAGCACCCGGCACAGGATGACTGGCAGAGCTCTCTACGATGGCACAATAGATCGATATTCGGCACGACTTTCCAGCACAGATCCAATGCCAACGGTGTGCAGCGCTCAAGTCGTGGCCCTACCCATTCAAAGATATGGCCATTGCCAACCCGAGGTCACTGGCGATCCGTCTGCTCCAGCCGACCGCCTCCTCCGCATCTTGGGAGAGCAATCTTCAACTTCAGGCGGATGACTTCAGTTCCCAACGGCCCAACCTCGACGGACATCTCCACCTATCAGTCTGCAACTCGTCTTTTTTCTTCGATATTGCGGTGTCTTTCTCCCGACGTTCATCTCAACTCGGCATGCTCCCAGCTAACACCACCGAGATACGGACAACGGACGAAACCCGTACCGGATCACCTCTGCAGACAATCTCTGCACCTAGGGGTCAGCTTGCCATGCGCAAACGGTTTCACGGACATACCAACTGCAGTGGCGAGAAAGTGCGCAGATTTCTGCTTTCAGGGGCTCGATGCTTTACATTGCGAAGGTTTCTGATTACAGGCATTTTCCTATGTTTGCAGGTAGACAGCTAGATAGCTAGTTAGACAGACGGTTGGATGGGTTTCCGGTCCACTGGTGTTCCAGAGAACTTGCCTTTCTCCCTTTCCCCCATTTCCTTGGGGGATCGGTTTGGTGGTTTTCTGGACCTGGCCGAGATGCTGTCGCTAGTCTAAGCTACGCTATCCTACCACATCTTTCTTCCTGCATCGTGACTTGTTGACTGCGCCTGGAGACAAATGACAGTATATTGGCTATGGTTTGGTGTGTCCCAGCACCTAACGTCAAGTACGCAATTGGTTTTGTTATTCAGGTGCTTCAACAACTCGGTACGTCCCTGTGTAAGCGACGACTTAGTCCCTCCCTCTAGCTACGGAAGCACCGTATACCAGCTCATATTAACAGCAGGTTCCACAAAGCGTCCTTGTCCACGTAGTCGTGGTGTATGATATTGACGAGATAGGCGTCGGACCGGGCCTTCTCCAACATCTGCGCACTTTCGGACCCCCTGTCGTAGACCTTGGCCCACTCGCCAAAGATGCCGAAAGCCTCCTCACTCCAGGCGCGGAAGCTGACTTCCTCGATGATGGTGGGCGTGATGATCTCCTTGCCGGGGAATACGCCCCAGGTCACGGCGTTGGTGCTCACCTGCCGGACGGCCTCGCCCGCCAGCCCGCCTGTCAGGTCCGATGACACGAAGTCGCCCGCCGCGTTTGCTGCGTAGAAGCAGACGGTGTCTTGCACCTCGGAGCCCTGCAGCTTCTCGTACAGCACCTTCCACTCGGCCGACGGCATGAAAAACTCGACGAATGCCTTCTGAAAGACGAAGCCCTGTTGTGGACCCCAGCCGAAGGTCGGGTCGGAAGACGGCAGACCGTTGACGGCCGGCTGCGACGCAACGGTCCACCAGCCCTTTGAGTTCAGGCGTAGCAGCTCCTCGCTGATCGTGCCAGTCTCCTCATTGAACTCTTCCTCACTCCATGGGATTGCGGTTAGTTCCCCCTTCAAGTGTCGCACGAATAACTCGTTCACATCTTCTATTCTCTTGGGATAGCCCCATAATGCGACAGCCTGAGCATTGGTGACGTGCAAGCTGGGCCCGTACCCGTCGATTTCTCCGTATGCTGGCGACCGAGCGTCACCCCATCTTCCATTTGGGAAGTCGTCCCAAGTGGCCTCTCGACCGAGCACACCTTCTCCTTCCGATATCGCTAGGGTGTTCGCCCTCGTGTTGATGGGCTCTGCAGGCTTGCCGGCTTCCGCTTGTGTGGTTTCATATTCTGGGTTTGACGGGGATCGTTCCGACACAATAACGCGGTTTCGCGGCTCCGACCCGACACCTGATGGTCTTCTAGAACTAACTCTGGGCTGTGACAGATGGTCCGCTGATGAGTTACCGTTAATCCGGAGTGACGGTATGTTGGGCAGAAGATCATCAACTGCGACGGCCTCTTCTCCCTCCTCAGGGGTACTGGGCAGTATGAGGTGGGTTCTCTCAACAATGAATGACACAGCCTTTTCAAGGTTAAGGGTATAAAAGTGGAAGCCATTCGGACCGGGTGTGCTGCTCTTGATGTCCTTGATCTGTTCAACCATCTCGCTCACAATGTCGACACCCACGCTCTTGACTTTCTCGTCGTCCTTCTTGACGGCGTCGAGCCGGTCCATAACCGCATCCGGAATCTTGGCATGGCTCAGCTTCGTCGTCCGCTTGATCATGGAGTAACTCTGGATGGGCATCAAACCAGGAATGATAGGGATCGTCTTGAAGGCGCCACTGGGGTGTTCGCGCAGAATTCGCTCAAACTTTGCATAGGCATCAGTGTCGAAGAATAGCTGAGTCATTAAGAAGTCTGCACCAGCCAGAGTCTTGTCGACCAGGTATGGGAGATCATGCTCCATGCTCTGGCCAAGTGGATGGCTCTCGTCGGCATGACCTTCTGGATATGCAGCAACGCCAATGCAGAAATAGTCGCCATGGTTCTTCTTGATATAGCGCACCAGGTCAATGGCCCATATGAAGTCCTCGTCAATGGCGTCTTCTGGGTTCTCATTGGGGTCCTGATACTCTGCAGCGCGCGGGGGGTCACCTCTGAGGGCCAGTATATTCCGTATGCCCAAGGCCTTTGCATCATCCAGTGCGCGGTCTATCAACTTGCGACTCATATTTGTACAGGTAAGGTGGAGGCAGGTGGTCAGGTTCAACTCTCTCTGGCATATCTCGGCGAGCTCGAGGGACTTGGTGGCGGTGGAACCACCGGCTCCCCATGTCACGTTCACGAATAGGGGTCGCAGGGCTCGTGCCATTCGATCGAGTCGGTCGCGCAGGTTGGAGAAACCCATGGGGGTCTTGGGCGGGAAGAACTCGAGCGAGAAATAATTGGAATCGGGCGGCAAGGCGGCTATCTTGTCGGTAATTTTCTCCATGATGGGCAATTCCTCTCGGCTACCTCAGGCAGATGCTCGGATGGCAAATTGCTCGACGGCGAGGTCAAGTCTTAACTGGTGCTGTGTCTTCTGACTCGATGAGTATCGGACCAGAAGCATAAGGGTGGCGTCGTCGTGGGAGCGCGTCGGCTGTTGACGACAAGTCGCTTTGGAGGGGCAGAGGGGCAAAGCACGTCGACGTCGACGTCGACGTTTCACAAGACAACGAACAATGGCTTTGATTGAGAACTTGGGGCGTTGGGGAATAAAAGATGTCGAGGTTCCGGAACTTGAAGCTCCTACGAACTGACAGGCAGTCAGGTCCAAGGTTCGTATGTACCGTCTTGAGGAATGTGTCGTTACTTGTAGCTCTTCAACAAAATTTCTACTGCCGGCGCCGCGGTCGGACTTGAAAGTTGCTGACGAGTGACGACGGGATGTTCAGGGATACATAAGTATTAATGTGGGGTTCCTGCATGGCAGCCCCCCAGCCCCGCCAGCCCGCCGCCGTCCGCCTCGTGCCCGCGCTACCGGGTACAACATCATATCTACCTATGTACCTCTCATTACATATATGTAGTATCTTCATGCGTCTATGCAGTTTCAATGCAGCTTGAGCTTTAGGTATCTACTTAGGCGAGGGACGGATTAGTGATGGAATGTCAAGTATGTTAGGTTCCTGAATGTGTCCGAGTGTCCGAGTCGACGGAGCAATCAACTGTTACAGTGGTATTACAGTGGTAGGGGCTTGGGGAATATACTCCCCGAACGGGTCTAGGCCATCTGCATCCTTATCGCCCGCTGTCTGAATCGCGATTTGCCTACCTACATAGTTATAGGTACAATCATCATGTATTGGTCGCATTTGTAATCCGGGACGGTACCCTTGATGCCCTCTCCCTTCCTTTCAAATTTCCAGCACTCCTTCCTTCCTTCCTCCACGAGTCGTCCACCTACAATCCATGCAGAGCCTTACCGTTTCCTCTCATTGACATTCTTAATACTTGCTGTCGACAACGATAGCTAGGTACATAGCTCACCATGGGCGCCCCCCACCGCAACGCCGCCCATGTGGCGAAGCCGCCCAAGGACATGAGCCACCACTATTCCGATGTGACAAAGGCGAGGGTGCCGAGTAAGATGAAGGAGTACTACAAGTACTTCCTAATCCCAGGCATTGGCAACCTGGCCGGCGGTGCGTACGAGAACATGACAAGAGGTTCAGAAGACTGATCCACGAACCCACCAGGTCTCCCCAACGCTCGCTTCTTCCCCTTCGACACCCTCGAGGCCCAGATTGCAAAGCCGGACCGATGGACCCCGTCGCCCAACCGGCCCGGCGCCGATTCACCCGCCTCCGAGATGGCCGCCATGGCCCTTTCCTCACCCTCGGAGCCGAGCGCCGCCTCCCACGTCGTAGTCCCACACGACGCGCAGACCTCCGACCCGACAAAGAAGATCGACCTGGCCTCCGCCTTGCAGTACGGCCAGGCCACCGGCTACCCACCATTACTCTCCTTCATCCGCCAGTTCGCGCGCGAGTGTCTGCACCCGAACGTGCCGTACGCCGGTGGGCCCGAGGTCATCTTCACCACCGGCTCCACCGACGGCATGGCAAAAGCCCTAGAACTATTTACCAACATCTGGGTGCCCGGCAAGAATGACGTACGCGAGCGCCCAGGGCTCCTCACCGAGGTCTTCATGTACTCCAACGTACTGAACCAAGCCAAGCCGCGAGGCGTCCGAACCTGCCCCGTCGAGATGGATGAGGAGGGTATGGCCCCGTTCGGCCCCGGTGGCCTCGAAGACGTGCTGGAGAACTGGGATGACAGCAAGGGAAAGCGACCCCATCTGATGTACACCGTCACGTAAGTTGAGCTCTCTGTTATATGTAAGCCAGGGGGCCTGCTGACGGCAAGCAATGTAGAATGGGCCATAATCCGACGAGCGGTGTTCTATCGCTGAAGCGACGGAAGGAAATATACGCCCTATGCAGTAAGTACGATGTAATCATCGTCGAAGACGACCCGTATTGGTACCTGCAGTACCCGTCAGCAGAAATCGAGGAGGCAAAAGCACGGCATTTACCTATTCCGGAAGCCCAAGCTGCCAACACTCTTGAGAAGAAGTCTGGCTACCCCTTCATAGACTCTTTGGTGCCATCGTTCCTGAGCATTGATGTCGACGGCCGAGTCGTGAGACTAGACACCTTTTCCAAAACAGTTGCGCCAGGCTGTCGGTTGGGATGGGTCACATCCACGTCAGAGGGCACGTATAGAAATCTCCCTATTCTAGACCCCAAGTTCCCGGTTCTAGGATGCACTTGAACCTTCTGCTAATTTCTCGGCAGTAAGTAATTCTGCTAGGCGATTCCAGAAACACAGGGTACGGTAACTAACTAGGGACATTTTCATACACTAGATCTGTGAGCGCATCATGCGCATCAACGAGTCAGGCACCCAGCAGCCTTCAGGCTTCGTACAGGTCGTCATCGCTGAGGCTGTTATGGGTCCTCAACCGGATGCCTCCGCTGTCTTTGCGTCTCGGTCCAGAAGAGACCAACCGAACTTCAATGGCTGGAAGATGGATGGTTGGGTCCGCTGGCTCGCAGGCCTCCGCGGCCAGTACGAGAGACGCATGAAAAGAATGTGCAGCATCCTGGAGGATAATGCCTACCAGCTTAAGCAGTCGACACCAATGCGCGAGTCCGACGCCGACTGGGGCGTCATCACCAAGACGAAGCTCTACGACTTCGAGTGGCCGAGAGGCGGCATGTTCCTGTGGCTGCGAATGCACTTCGAGTCACACCCGCTGTTTGGCGCGACCGGCTCCAAGGGCAACGTCATCAATGGCGTCGCACTCTCGACCGCACTCATGCTTTTCCTGACCCACAAACCGTACCTTGTCCTCGTTTCTCCGGGCATGATGTTCAGCGCCACCGACCAGATCCGAGGCGAGCGTGGCTGGGCCTACTACCGGCTGTGCTTCGCGGCCGAAACCGAGGAAAATATTGACAGCTGTTCACTACGGTTTGCCCAAGGCACCCAGAAGTTCTGGCGCATTAAGAAGGTGAAGGAGCTCGAGGCTATCCTCGAGGACCAGAGTGCGAGTGCCGAGGATGTCGAAGGACTGGTGAACATGGGCAGCTATATGGGCTGTTAGGTTGGGACGGTTTCAAATGAGATATGATACGTACATAAAAGTGGGCGTTCGGAGGCCGCGACAGCCTCATATGTCGGGATTTATGGTTTTTCCACCTCTCGGTTTCCTCTCAGTTGTGAGTCTGCGTCAAAAATGCGTGATGGGCGGGCGAAATATGCGTACTTCCAACATACTGCAGCTCGGCCATGGGCACCAGTGCGGAGGTGAAGGAGGCGAAGAAGAGGAAAGAGGGAATAGCGAACGGGAAGACATAACATAGGAATATTGCCCTCGGCCCCTCGCCTTACGTAACCGCCCTTTACTCATTGGTAACCCGTGAGGGGTGAGCAGGAAGATGGGCAGAATCGCGTGGGACAAGCAGGTCGTGTACCTCGACATTCTCCGAGGGCGCTGGTACGGTAGTATACCTTACGTACAAATGTCGAGGGCTGGGAGCACGACGGTACAGGTCAGAAGAAGCCCATTTTACTAACCCAATATCCAGTAGACAAGAACTCAACGTAGCTTTCGAAGATCATCATCGAGATAGAGCATGAATGACCACCGACTGACCAGGCGAATATCTTCGACATCTCGGAAAAGGTCCAGCGTGATGCGTAGTGTTTGTGCGATACCAGAATGTAAGACTGGGTACCACATTGATTAGGGGTCGCTAAAAGCGATGACTGCAAGTGCGGTCTCAAGCCTTCTCGGGCAAGGCGTACATGTATTTACATCGGCGGGCGAAAATTGCACTGCTCAGGGGTAACGGGCATGCACATTGTGTATAGTTTGTGTGAAATTTACCACCTTCTGGACAAGGTCGTCGCCAGCTGCTATTGCTGCCCAAGCCGGTGGTACTGTGGTAGGCACGGCAGAGCGGCGAAATCGGCAGGCTTTTAGTCCGTTCATGACACACGAGAAAACCAGAGTTCCGTTTCGTATGACCTGTGTTCACATGAAATCATCGGCATCTTCGCAGACATTTCAACTGGGGACCGACCATAAGTCTGCAAAACACTCGGAATGACAAGTCCATTGATTGATTCGTGACCCATGAGCCTTTACGCCACGACTATAGCAATGATTCCCCTCGTTAGACCACGCTGCTCACCAAGGTAGTCTAGTCCTCCGCCAGGATGCCCTCAAAGCCCTTCGCGGTCTTCAGGGGCTTGCCGGCCTCCTTCTTCTGCTGTCCCAGGTTCTCCTTGACAAATGTGGAGTGGTACGGGTTGAAGCGCAGCATGACTTGCTTGTTGCGCAGAGGGTTCTTCTGTACGCTGGCGCGCTTGGTGACGCGACCTCCCTTGGGCGCTCGCAGCACGGTCTGGATTTCGGAGCTGTTGATTAGACGGCTCAGGTCGGCCTGCGAGACGAGGTTGGAAGGCAACAGGAAGTCCTTCTTCAGCTCGGAGGGCTTGGTGGTGGTGCCGTAGATGGTGTCAAGAGCCTTGAAGGCAGCCGAGGTCCAGACGATGAAACGACCAAGGTGGCCACCAGGGGCGAGCTGGAGAAGGTTCAGGGCAAAGACAGAGCAGGTCTCAACACCGGGCATGTTGCGGAATCCCTTGACAAGCTCCTTGCCGTCAACCTCGGGGTCGTAGATGACCAGAGGACCACGGCGCTGGCGGTGACGTCGGCCTCGCAGCTTACCCTTTCCGGCGCGGAGCTTCTTCGACTTCTTGGCCTTCAGGACATCGGTGGAGGCTCCAACGGCGGTCAGGATGGCGAAAGCGCTGGCAGTCTTGGCGGCAGCAGCTCCCTCGAAAACGGCCGAGTCGATGACCAGGGGAACCTCGGGGACGGAGGAGATCTGGTGACCACGGGCGAGCAGTAGGGGAGGAACGGCGGAGGCGGCGAGAGCAGAGGCGGTGGCGAATCGCCTTTTGATGGGTTAGTCTGTAACTTCTCGCGGGTCCAAAATGTCCATTCCAGACTTACTTCTGGCCCTGGTTGATCTTGATGTGCCACTTCCGCCAGATTTTGGTAGGGGCGAACATGCGACCGGAACGGCACATGTTACCGAAGGCAGCCTGACCAGCACGGTGGGTACCGCCACCAGAGACACGAGGAATACGGGCAACAGCACGACCTGGGTACAATCGTCAGCGGATTGGCCAACAATCCCTCCATATAACAAGTATATCCCAATGTCCTCAAGAAAACAAACACCCGATGCAAATGCAATGCGTGCTACTGACCAGTTCCCCAAGACTCGGCAGAGGTCTGGTGACCAGCCTTCTCGCTCACGGCATAGGGTTGTCGCTTGTTCTTGGCCATTCCGGTGTGGACTTGCTGGACAATATCAGGTCGGATCGGGGAGGCGAAGACGGTGGGCATGGTATGGGTAGCTCCCGAGGGAGAACCATCCTTGCCGATGATGGTGACAGTCGGTCGCGAGGCCATCGTGAAAGTCTGCGTCTGGAGGAGGAGGTCGGGTCAGTTACGAGGTTCGTGTATGATGATGCTCCGGTGGGCGAAAGAAAGACGGGCTTGGGAGATTGGGAGATTTGAGGATTGGGCGACCGTACGTACCTCGACTTGGCGATTGATGGGCTTGAGGAAATCGAAATCGAAATCGGAAATGTGAGGTTCGGGATTGACGAAAAGTAAGATCCCACCAAATTAATTTTTTGCTGCAGGCAGCCTGTGTGGGCTCGGCCAGGGCTAAGCGACTTTTGCGAGGAGATGTCCCACTTAAACGAATACAATCACTGTATGCAATCGGCAGATCTCTAAGTACCTAAGATAAGCCTAACGAACTTTGAAAGCTCCCGTCCCATCAGCCACCACGGGCACTTTCCTGGGTACTTCTTGGGGCCAAGCAAGAATTGATGGGTTATGTTTTTACCATCGGCAAGAAAGGATACAATGTGCGCTGCTACTTTGTCTCGATTGCAGAGTGTCAGAAGAGCTCCAGATGGATTCGATATGCGAAGGGTCTCAATGCACCTGGTCCTCAAGCCGTACCAGTCGTGACCATCTGAAGCCAATGCGATGCGTTAGTGCACTTAAGGCAGCTTCTCACGATGGCATACGGTACTACTCAGGTCAGCATGGTAAAACACTTCTGGTATCGGATCCTAGCATCAAGATTCGAACCTACTTACTACTTTACATGATGCTTGATAAGAGAAGACTGTTGGCTAGCAATGATGATTCACGAGGAATTGGACGTACGCTTGGGGTATGGTGGTATCTCTTTTCCATGTACCTGCCTGCCTGTCTCTGCCACCACAACCTGCGCAGACACCTATCACAACAGCAAGATTGCTCCATGAGGTGACGGCATGGCAAGAATATATAGTCCATCGTCTAGCCTCGCAAATCCGAATCGCCATTCAATGAATTGCAACTTGTTTACAGCCCCTCCAGATACCTCGCACTCGAGGGACTTGTACTCGCAACGGGGGGTTGGATTTCACACGCATCGTGCAGACAACTGCAGCGACATCGGAAGATACTGTACGACCTACGCACCAGCGCAAAGATAGACATGCCGACACCATAACACATTCACCGGCACCTGTGCGCCGATCGCGGTGGTGGTCTGTAGCCTAGGAATTCTCCACGAGAATACAGAGGCAACATTGGAAGCCGCGGAGTGCGTCCTGGGCCTCATACTGACGATGAATGGGGCTTATAAGACTGCCCAAGGAGGCGCGGGACACTTGGCGCCCTACAAACCGGTGCTCGCTGCGTCCTGAGAGATGGCGGGCAAGCTGCTGTCTCACCTATCGAAGCCCGATGGTATGGTTTACTGTGCGCCGGGTTTGTCCGCATCCGCGACAAGTATAGTGGAAAGACGTATAGTCATTACGCAGTACCCAGCTTCGACCACGACTCTTGAAATCATTCAAATGTATGAGACGAGTATAATAGGGGATAGATCTCACAAATGCCAAAGGGTTCCGATGATTGATGAGGTTGCAGTTGCATTGGACAATTGTCTGGGGTCGAAGCGGGAAGAATACCTCAATATATGCGGGATATCCCAGAAAGCTCACGTGAGTTCTTTCATGCCCGTGAGTCGTAAGTCCAAAAATTGAACATCGATGTCCAGAGGCACTACAATTCATAACAAGGCAAAAGTACTTCGCCTTTGGCAAAGAAGAAAAAAATGCGTAATGACCAGATGGGACTTAGATCAACCACTGGTTTTTTAAAAAAGGCATTTGCTCCGAATCGGGGAATCGAACCCCGGGCTCCACGGAACACTCAGGTTGGTGAGAGCGTGAAATGTTAACCCCTACACCAATTCGGATGGGCCAGACTCCATGATTGGACGACAACTTTTGTGTTTTGATGGCCTATAAATTCGTTGCTTGCTTTGCCCTGGTTCAAGTGGAGCAGACTGGGCAGACCTGGACAAAATTCGAACCGATCTTCCATCATCTGGTACAAGACCTCGCCAGGGCGTATCCAAATCCACCAACATGTTGACAACGTCAAGTTGTAGGTCGATGATATCGGAGCAAGCCAGGATCCAAGGTCTCTGAATTCTAACCGTCATAAAAGTCTTCCGAGACCCTTCGCTTTCTGCCCAACCTTGGTCTCAATGTCAAGCCCGACGTCAACGACGACCCTTCGAGGCGTCTCCTGCGTCCACCTCCGCAGCATATACCCAATCGATGTTCAACCAGGCCAGCGAGCCTTCCATTTCTGTCGCCATGCAACACCCGTTCCGCAACCGCTGTCGGCTTCTGTATGGGTCAGACGGAGCTTGCCGGTGCATCTCTGTCTCATCATAGGGGTTGAAGAGACCTCGTACCCCCTCCAATGTACGCGGTGACAATCCGCAGCGAGATCGGTAATGAGCATCAAAGAATGGCCGACTACTCGACTTCGAAATGAGGGTTTATTCTGCACTTGTGCTGCAGTCTAGTCCCAGCTGAACTCAAAGGCTACCTACTTAGGCTCACGTTCCCGGATATATGCACACAAGTGCGACCTCCATCCACACATCTAGCTTAAGTACTTCCAGAGAGGTATGTGGAACAGCATTGACAGGCCGCGGCTGTCTATTCGGAGTTGAGTATCTTAGCCTGTTGGCCAATCGGTTGGCCGGAGACCTGATGATTAGAAGCAAGGGCCGCATGTAATGGATGCACATCTAAGTCGCCGCCCGAGTGTTCAATCTAATGGTCATTTGAGCGCACAACGAAGGAGTTCGGAATAGTTTGGCCGTTCGGGGTGGGTTGTCGTTGAGGAAGAGTTGCGGCTACTGCCTGCAGTTCACCACCATGACCTTGCGCCTGCCCTACACGCATGAGAGCCACGACGGATTTACCTTGTCTCAGGCTGGTTATTGGTAAACGCTTCACATCATGTCTGTCATTTCCACGCCCAAGTAGGGTCCTGAGGTATACACACCATCTCGCATAACAGCAATTAGCCTCACCTACCAACCTTCAGTGCCGGTGAGCAGCACTGCCCATATAACGTACGTCTCACACCAGACTTCGATCTTGGTCCAGCAAAGCCTACTCATCAAAGATGAGGCTTGGGGTCTCACACCGATTCACTGATCGAAGTGGTCTTTTACTTACAGAATGCCCTCGATGAAAACGGCGTAGATGACTCGGAGTCATGGGAAAACGACATCAAGCAGCCCGACGGTGCTTCTCTTATAAGCCTGACGAACATCTTTGACTCGTCTAGAATTTAGTGGAAGCCATGGCTGCCCCTACCAGAGGCCTGCATAGATGGCATATTCACACACAGCGACCTAGCATCTAGCAACTGATGGTTGCGTTACTGCTGTGGCAGCTGTACGTCAGCCTTCACCTGGAGAATATGAACGAGTAGAACTCTCTTCTGCCCTGCCGAGGAGAAAATTCCCCCAGGTGTAGCTTGTCGGAGCATAGGAATATGTCCTACTATACACCCGCTGAAGACACGTCGACCCATACGCGCAACACATCATAAAGGTGGGAGAAACGGTACATGGAGCCAAAGCTTTCATATGTTCCATTACCAGGCTCGTGTCGAACCTCTGTCCCTTGACTATTATAATCCCTTCATGCCTCATCTCGTACTCGCCCGGCGCCGGGTATGCGGTTCACTCTCCAACGACTGCTCCCGATACGCCGCTGGCAGTACCAACCTCGCAACATTTTAAGCCCACAGCATTATTCCGAATTCGGGGTCCGCGATCGACCCTAGGCCCTGACCAGTCACAGCACTGGTGACAACTCATCCATCTTGAACTTGACGGGGTCCGTCCAGGTCGCTGTCGGCAATGACACCCCAGTGCGATGCAACTGCTAGCTGAAAACCGAGCCGAACCGGCTGCTACCGAATGCTGCAGGCATGCCGCAGCTGTGTCTCACGGGCGAGGCTAATGCGCACGCGACGTACGACCATGCATGATCGACTACCTGAAGTAGGCTGGGAATAATCCCGACTGGATCAATTTTGCCGGCATTTTGATTATGGGTAGGGAGGAATGGCACCCCATGGATCTCGAAAAGTGTCAAGAAGCACAACCTCGCCATAGCCGCCGTGGTGGCGCGGTGGTTTGAGGGCAGGGAAGGCGGTGAAGTGAAGATATTGGCACGAACTTACAGGGGCACAGCATTTGATTGAAATGCTCCTCTCCGAGACAATCAGTCATGTGGTTGTCTGGAACACCACTTCGCTGACACAAGAATACCCGGTACTGCACTGTTCACCTCAGCCCCCGAGACACGTACTCGCCGAGACTTGAGGCTTTAGAGTGAAGTATTTCAGGTTGATGTGCGTGGTAAGCACCCAAGAAGCTTCTCGTCAATAGACCGCTGCCCGCCCTTGCACGCCGGAGATGCCACACTTATGTAACTTCCCTTCTTCCCATCTGTAGCACCGTCGGTCACCCTGTCCGCTACTTGACAGCATGCGGGAACTGACTCGGTAACAGGCTTGATGGTCCACCCTTGTGCTTCCCGTTCAGGGGGGTGAGGGTCACTGTCAGATTGACGATACGAGGCACATGACCTTCGAGACCGGTCCTGATTTCGAGGGTCTAGTGGCAGGCTTGGCTGGAACTTGGCGATCATCTGCAGCGACTGGAAAGCCACACGTCAGCGACATTCTCGAGACTCACCGGCCTGTCGGCTCGCCTCACTGCTCACATCGCCATTCTTTAGCGTCAAGTGCCAAATTGCACTAGATGGTTGTAGTTTCCAAGGCTCACGACAGGCCGTCGACATGGGTTGAGTCTTGGAGCCGGGACCGCGCGAGGAAGTCAACCTTCGCCGAGACTCGAGAGCTGCCATCCCACCTCGCCGGGCTGAACCTTGCATACTGTGGCGGCTTGTACAGGTTCCTGTGACCACCTACAGTCACTGACAGAGCTGAGTAGGGGTCATTCGCATCTTCAAAATCATCAATGGGTGGGCAGGTCAAGCACGCCTAGTATTTGACAGTATTTCCCTCAGCTGCATAAACGCACGATATACCCCACCTGGTACAGAACTAGACATCGCCTACCTGTCTTGGCTGTCAGATGAGGGCCTAAACTCTGGAATGGTCCCTAGGTGCCTAGCCCCTATCAAGATTCGCATTCACCCTGAAGAAGTAACCGTGGTCCTTACCCATGGCAGAAACTTCCCGAACGTTGTCGTCCATCGGGTAGTCAGCGTGGTCTGGCTGATGAAGTAGCTGAAGCCGGGTCCCCAGTGATCGACAGGCATATCGAGGCTGATGGCGATGGCGATCCCCGTTCGTTCCACTCAGTTGGTAGCAGCCGGGGCAACAAGACCATAGATGACCAGTTCGGAATCTGCCCACATCTGCTGGCTTCAAGTTACATTAGCTGCCCCCGCTATGTGTTTGCGGCTGACAGCTCTGAAGCCTGGCCGGCCAAGCCCGCCGTAGACGTTGATAGCATTGCACCGGATCTAGGCCTCGTATATTGTCCTGTCCTTGCAAGGGCGGTCTGCGGGTTCAAGGCGTCGACTATGCCACCACCCGTTGCTAGCATGCTCTTGCAACATGCGCTTGGTATCGGTACCTTACCACGACGCTCATGGCAGCATTGGTGAATGTGGGAGGTCAGCAACGTTCGGCCTACATTGCAGTAAGTCTCGAGGGCTGTGTCTTCTTTCGAGTCCGCGCTCTTTCTTCCTTATTTCTTCTATATACCCCTTTCCTCGTCCCCCAAGCCCGGGCCACCGTCGTTGAGTCCAGTCGTGTTCCAATATCCCGGGTCATTGACCGCAGAAGCAAATCTACATTTCTTACCTACTTACTGTTTTCTACCTAATATCTAATATCTATTCTGCCGCCGGGTCATCACCGCTTGTCGGGATGCGTTGGGACGCGTCATTATTCTCGGCGATGCTCTCGCTGAGCACGCTTGCGAGGGCAGATCCAACGTGGCCGTCGGCAAACGACGATCTGGAAGAAATCATGTATCAAGTGAGGGGCTACCGGTCAAGACTATTCGGCGGGACTGTCGTGCCTTGTTCGAGCGAAGCTTCGGGGCCTGGACGACACAATGCTGCAGAGTGGGTTCGGGCAGCATTCCACGACATGGCCACCACCACGAATTTCGGTGGTATGCGGGCTGGCGGACTGGACGGTTCAATACAGTACGAGTTGACCAGTTCGGACAATCTGGGGCCTGGTTTCAAGACAACACTCGAGTTCATGGCCGACTACTACACAAGCCGGACCAGGGTGGCCGACCTCATCGCTTTGGGCGTATACTACTCAATAAGATCCTGCGGTGGCCCAGTCGTTCCTATTAGTGCGGGCAGGATCGATGCCAAGCAAGGCGGCGGTATAGGTGTGCCCCTACCAGAGAACAGCGCCTTTACGTTCGAGCAGCAGTTTCTAAGGATGGGGTTCAGCAAGCAGGAGATGATCCAGGTCACCGCCTGCGGCCATTCTCTAGGCAGTGTTCACGCCAGCGAATTCCCCCAGATAGTTCCACCTGGTTCAGGAACCAATGACCAGATACCCATGGACTCGACAGTTGCGGCTTTCGACAACAAGGTCGTGACCGAGTACATTTCCGGTAATACAACAAACCCTCTGGTGGTCGGGCCCTCTGTCAGGGCTACAAGAAACTCGGATTTCAAAGTCTACAACTCCGACGGAAACGCCACAGTCAAGGCAATGGCAGCTCCTGCCGATTTCAACAATATATGTGCTACTGTTCTTCGCAAGATGATAGAGGTAGTCCCCTCGGGCGTGGTCCTCTCCGACCCTGTCCAGCCATACTTTGTCAAGCCTGTCGATATGCAACTCACCCTCAACTCGGGCGCAAGCACGATGCAGCTGACGGGTTTTATTCGTGTCCGCACGACCGGTCTAGCAGGAGGATCTGTATGGAGCATCACGCTGAACTACAAGAACCGAGGCGGTGGCGGCAATTGCGGCAATTCTAATTGCAAGATAACCGCAACCCTTCTCGGTGCCACGCAAGGTTTCGACGATACGTTTGTGGTAAGTCGACGACCCCTTGGCTGACGTATCAAGTATGACCTAACGTCACTTCAGTGGTTTCCGGTCAATTCCGAAATATCGACTTCCACTGGCATTTCATCGTACACCGTAACCTTCACTATGGCAGACGGGACAACGCAGACCTTGGACAACAACGGAAACTCGTATCCGATGCAAGACGCCATTCTTCTACAGAAGCCTCAAAGCTGTCTCATCTCCGGCGATCTCACTGTCACGGCCGCAGTAAGTCCTTCCAATGCCTACGATTGCGCTTCGCTGACTTTCATCTAGGTCCGCAACGACCTGAACTCTCTACCTGTCAACATGTTTCTCTCGTACAAGACGCCAAACTCGGATTCAAACCGCCCGATACCTACCCTACAAAACGCCACGGTAGCATGACCAAGGGAGACTGCGTGGGTCCGTACACGTTCTACACGTCGACCTTCACTGGCCTCGGCGAACTCGATTATGCGGCCAAGATCGACGTAGTGAGTGGTAGCGGTGCTTCGGCCCCGAGGGACGACTTCAACGCTGCGAGCGAGCTTGGAGGGACCTGTCGATCTTTCCAGAGCCCGCCATCGTCAGCGTGCACGACAGGACGGGCCTCGACTACGCCCGGTTCTTCGTCGACTTCCTCGTCTGTTGAAACTGTTTCGTTGTCGTCGACGGTTGTTATCAGCGCGACTTCTTCGGCTTCGTCAAGCATCTTATCTACTCCGTCAAGCGTCCCATCCACCTCGTCGAGCATCTCATCCGACTTGTCTAGCGGTGTGACCACCTCGACGGTGATTGTGAACAGCACGACCAGATCCAGCACTGGTCCAGTTGAGACTCTGCACCACCGACAGTCTCTGGGCGGCTACAGACTGGTTGACTGCAAGAAGGAGTCGACTGTGCCGGGAACCCGCGCCCTCGGTAGTGCTTCTTTTGCATACGACGGAATGAATTTGGAGAGCTGCATGGGTAACTGCACCGGATACGCCTACTGGGGAACAGAGTACGGTCGGGAGTGTGAGTTCTTCTGGTGGAACGAAGCTATTGGTGTGACCTTGACTGACCATTCCTAGGTTATTGCAGCAACTCACTCCACCCATCCACTGAAGACGCTACTCTTTCCGAGTGCAATATGCCGTGCTCCGGAGACTCGACGGAGTATTGCGGAGCTGGCAACAGGATCGAGCTGTACGCCACCACCGCCAGCCAGCCGACTCCCACGGCTACATTGGCGCCCAAGCCGACTGTCTCGCCGTATATCCGTGCTGGCTGCTACAATGAGGTTCCGAACGGACGCGCCTTAACCGGAGCCACTTACGCCAACGATACGATGACACTGGAGCTTTGTGCGTCGCTTTGCGCCAGCTTCACTTACTGGGGTACCGAGGACGGACGGGAGTGCTACTGTGGCAACACCCTGAATGCCCTCAGCACTCCTACTGCCGAGGGAGGTTGCAACATGGCCTGCGCCGGGAATGGCTTCGAGTACTGTGGTGCGGGCAACCGGCTGGAACTGTACGAGCTAGAGACAGCGTCTTCGTCGTCGGCTGTCGCGACTTTGACGTCTAGCTCGAGCACGGCCGCCTCGATTGTCCCTTCTACGAGTTCAAGTGCCACTAGCTTGACGACATTGAGTGCTGTAAGTTCAGGGACTGCCACCAGAGCAAGTGTGATTACGTCGAGCAGCCTTGCAGCGAGCAGCGCCTCAAGCTTCACATCCTCGAGCTCGCCTTCGTCAAGCGAGGTGGCCACGAGCTCGGGAACATTAAGCGCCGTTATTTCAAGCTCAGCAGCACTACCAACCACAAGTGGCTCGACCGCGTCATCGTCTTCCTCCACAACCGCATCCGCTACACTTCGGCATGAACCGACGGTGTCCTCGTACGTCTTTCAGGGCTGCTGGACCGAAGGCAACGGCGTGCGCGCCCTCAGCGCCAAGATGACCTCGTCAGCGTCCGAGATGACGCTGGGCGCATGCGCCGACTACTGCGCCGACTACCACTACTTCGGCGCCGAGTACGGCGGCGAGTGCTATTGCGGCAACGTGCCCGATGCGTCGAGCAATCAGACGGCCCTGGCTGACTGTAACATGTTGTGCACTGGGAACAAGCTGCAGTACTGCGGCGGCGGCAACGCCCTCGTGCTCTACTACTCCAGCACGACACAAGGCCCCTCGCAGCCGGTTCTCATAAGCCAGGGCGGCAGCAACTACACTTTCCTCGGTTGTCAGACCGAGACCAGCAACGGGCCCCGCGCACTCGCCGCCAAGAGCTCCGCGGCGGACGATATGACGCTCGATAAGTGTGCCGCCTTCTGCGATGGGTTCGCGTACTTTGGCGCTGAGTACGGGCGCGAGTGTTACTGCGGCGACAAGTTCACCATCGGTTCGGTCGAGGAGGACGCGAGCGGGTGCAGCATGACATGTGGTGGTAACGGCAAGCAGCTGTGCGGTGCCGGGAACCGGTTGAGCGTTTATGGGTTGACGAGAGTGGAGGACTCATGAGGGAAGAGGCTATGCCCGTATGAGTTGATTCAGGGGCATTGCGTTAGTTTGAACGGGAATGGCGTCTTAAACCCTTCATAATTATAATAATTATTTACTATTTTAAACCTAGGTAAAGGTTTAATCTAATTTTAACTTAAGTAAGAGTTTTATTTACAAAATAATAAGTATCATATAAACGTAATGGCGTTATTGTTTTTAAGAAAAGATTTACCGATTTTTTTTTTTTAAATATACTTAAGCTTAGATTTTTTTTATTACCACTTAATATACTAGTTAATCCTTATATATTGCTTACATATATATTATTTATTCGTTTTTAACTATAATTCAAGGCTATCTAACGGAGAATGTTTAAATAAGCTTAATAAATTTTAAAAATAATTACGGGGTAGTTTAAAAATTAAAACGAAGCTGCTTATTAATATTCTTAATTATGAAAGTTTTATCTTAAAAAAGATTTATACTACTTAGATTTAATAAGGTATTAAACGTTAAATCCCGAGTTATATTTACTTATTTATTTATGTAGTAAAGTAAACCGTTGATTTTATTTTATTACTTATAACTTTCCCGGTTAAAAAAAACTTGACTTAAAGCTTGAATCTTGAGCCTTTTATATTAAAAAACTTACGCTTTTTAAGTAAAAAAAAACTCCTTCATAGTTATAATTAGTTATTTAATTTAAGGCCTTAAATTTTTAATATTGAACTAGTTCTATTATATATTAAGTAGTGAAAATTAGGTTCATCCTTTGAATACAACTATATTACTAACGTTTTATAAATCCTGATTTTATAAATCGTATAGGTTTATTGTTATTAACGTAAAAAAAATTTGACGCTTTTAACTGCTTTAAGCTATTATTTTAGTCGAATTAAAAGCCTTACATCGTTAAAATATTTATCGTATTACTGTTTTAGTTTCGTGGCAGAGTTTTGAAAGTCATTTATAAGCTATTAAATGTTATTAAGATTTTAGTTTGTTTGGAAAAAAATATTCACGTTTTTTATAATATAATATCAAATTAATAACTTTGTTACCTTTTTATTTTTTAATGAGGTTCAAGTTAACGAAATCTTTCTCCAAAAAAAATTATACTTTTATCCCGGTATAATGTCAAATTTTAAAACTGAATTAGTTTACGTAAAAATATCGCGATTTTTATTATTATAACAAAGGTTTAACTTGTATATATTAAAACGGTTAAACTCCCTCTTAATAATTTCGTAATATTAACGGCTTATAAAGTAAATTAATTTAACGACTTATATTATAAGTGATAAATGAAGGAAACTTTATAATCTTATATTTTTAGAAAAATCTCTTTTCGCTATATCTTAAAATTTAAAGCAAAGCTTTGATTTTAATCACTCCGCTCGTAATGCTATCTTTTATACGTGTAATTATATATATTAAGTATTTAAATATATAATTGAATAAGTTAAAAGTTTATACGTGTAATCATGAACCCAGCTAAAAAAAACTTCCAGCGACGCATTATCGCTTAATTTCTTTTCGCATTAAGACTTAACGGCGCGTTATAAAATAACTAACAAGGCATTATAAGTAAGTCGTTTTATAGTATTACTATATTGGTTAGTTAATTACTTACTAGGTTTTCGAGCAGCTTTTCCGTACGCGTTATAATAAGTTAAAACCATTTTATATACGATTTAAAGCCTTTTAAAAGTTAAAGGCTTTATTTTATTACTTATTCATTAGTTCATATACGTTTAAACAGTTGTATTATTAACATTTAAGGTAGCTTATTTTGTAATTAAAAGTATTGTTATAACATCTTAATTATGATAAGTTCATACGCTTATTAATATTTAAGTATTTCAATATGCTTAACATAAGTCGATATATAGTTATAAGGCTTCATTTAACTTTAAAACCCCCCAAAAACTGTTTATGAAAAGGAGGCAAATATAAGCCTTCAAATTAAACAAATTAATAAAAGTATTAAAAAGCAAGTTAAATAAAATATTTTTAAAAATTTAGAAAAAAAATTTAGAAAAAAAAACTAAACTGTTAATACTATTATCGATTTTTTTTACCCTTTTAAAATACTTTTTACTTAGTTAAACATCTCGGTAATGCCGTCGTCATGTATAACTTCAAGCTTAAAAAAGTTTAAACAACGAATTTTAATCTTTTCTTCTTCTTTTCTTTCAAAGCTAGTGTAACTAGTTACTTTGTAAAGATCATACGAGCGTTAACCTGGCTATTAATATCGCTTGAAATCGTTTGATATATTTAATTAATAATATTAGGCTAGCAATATTAATAAGTGTTTTTTACGCGCGGAGATAAGTATACTGGTAGAAGTAAGTGTTAATAAGTGTAAACGTAATAATAATAATAATATTTATTATAATAATAATAATAATAATTATTATTATTATAATTATTATTATTATTATTATTATAAATATTATTATTATTATTATTATTATTATTATAATTATTATTATTATTATTATAATAAATATTATTATTATTATTATTATAATAAATATTATTATTATTATTATTATTATTATTATTATTATTATTATTATTATTATTATTATTATTATTATTATTATTATTATTATTATTATTATTATTATTATTATTATTATTATTATTATTATTATTATTATTATTATTATTATTATTATTATTATTATTATTATTATTATTATTATTATTATTATTATTATTATTATTATTATTATTATTATTATTATTATTATTATTATTATTATTATTTGTAAATAGTGTTTATAACGTTACGATTTTAATTTAAACGTAAAAGGCCGGCTATATAAAGATTTTATATGCTTGTATTTGTATAATAATAATTATATCGGTCGTTTTAGTTTGTATTTTCATCAACGATAGTTACCCAGCCGGAAACTTAATATATCTTAGCGATAAGGGTTTTTACTTATAATTAGATATCATACGTTCAAAGGTATAATATAAGGCGACTCATAGTTTTTACGGTTACTAGCTTTAATAAAGGTAATATTAGAAGTAAATCGGTAAAGGTTTACTATTAACAGAAAATGATTTACGTATTAATATTATAATATTAGGTATTTACAAGTAGATTTATAAAACCGGCTTAGCTATTAACTTGGCCGATAAAAGTATAATACTAGCTACTTATAAATAAGTAACGCGGATGCGACTTTTAAAATTTTCGCTATTTATATATTATAATTAGTTATAATCTTCTAATTCGTAAGTTTATTATATATACGTATTACTATCGTTATTACTTTTTAAAAAAATCAAAAATCGTATATATCGTAGTTAGCTATAAATTTACTTTTTTTTGTAAATCGAGATGTTATATTACTATTGTCATTATTACTGTTATTAACAGAAAGAAAGTATAAGATATTAGTTGAAATTTAAAATAAAAGAAAGGATCGTAGAAGTGCGTAATGTTTAGAATATAAGGGGTAGGTAAATAAAAAAAGACGTGTAAGCGTTAGTAGCTATAGCAGCTGGTAAATATGCTACTAATTAAAACAAACTTATTATAACTTAATAGGGATAATTATATATATACCAGGGCTTAATTTTTATTTTGTTTACTGTTAAGCGTACAATTATACGTATTATATGAATCAAGCTATTTAGAAACTTTAAATAAAGTTACGCATATACATATATATGTATAACGTAAAAAAATTTACTTCAAAATATATGAAATATATTTAAGCATGAATTATACGCATAGAGGGTTAGATTATAAAGTATAAAGTAGCTAGATTTAAAATTAAATGTCTAAGGTATAAAGTGGTTCAATATAAGCTAAATATATGATAATATATATTCAAAATATCGCTTAATAAGCCTGTAAAATATACATTGCTACTTTTAGTTAATACAATGTCGATGTATAGCTGCTACTCGTAGTAATAAAATGATAGCTTACCGGATATATTTTAAGTTTATTAAGTTTATTACGTTTATTACGTTTAGTACGTTTATTACGTTTAGTACGTTTATTACGTTTATTAAGTTTATTAAGTTTATTAAGTTAGAAGGGTAGGTTAAAAGGAAAATGTTTTTGAAATATATAAATATAAGTGTGACGAAAATAGTAAAAAAGGTAATATAAAAGAAGAATTTTTAAAAAATTCATTTTTGAAAGGATTTAGCTATAAATATTTAACAAATAGTAAATGATCACCGATTAATAATGACATTAATAAAAACTAGCTACTTAGTTATAATTAAATAGTTAAATGAGGATACATATATATAAATGAATTATAATATTGAAAATATGAATCGTATTCGTTTAACTTACGGTGAGTTATATAATATTTATTATTTATTTCGTTTATAAAGTTCAATCTTATATTTCAACGAAAGTAGTTTTTGTTTATAATAGCTATAGTTATTTTAAGTCTGAAGAGGTTCTAAATATAATGCCTTTTAAATTTCTTATATAAAAAACTGTATCGTATATTACTTTCAAATAAACCTTTTTGCAAAAAATGGTTTTATTAACTTTATCATAAGTTATTTTTTATGATTCATAAATCATAATTACGTAAGTAATAGTTAGGCAGAACTACGTGCGTAAACAAAGAGGGGTTTTAACTTTAAAGTTATATATTATACGTAAAATGAGTACTATACCTGGGTTGTTTAACATACAAAAATGAATAGGGCTTAAATAATAATTAGGAAAAATAAACATAATAAAAAAGGGTCTTTTTTACTTTTTTTGATTTAAACAAAAATTGCTACCGTATTAATAGCTTTATTAATAAAACTGTTAAAAGTTTACACGTTTCTAAAAGGTATTACGGGTAAACATAAAGCGAAAAAATACGTTTTTTAAACTTGCTGGTGTTTTTTAAGTTAGTTAACGTTTAATTAATATCCATTTTTATAATATCGATAGTAATAAGAGGCTACTTAAGCTTAATAAAATATTTAATATTATGTTTATTTCCTTACTTATTAACGAAGAAAATTGTACA